GCAATTGCCGAACGCAACGCATGGCGGAAGATTCACGAGCAGATGCACGAGGGCAGCACCCTCAAGGCGGCCATGCTGTCGGTCAGGCAGGACACATTGTTTTGGACACGTGAGGTCTATGAGAAGATCAGGACCTTTTCCAGGGGCCGCCCACAAACCAGGACATCCATGGACTACGCACCACCCCAGAAGGGCAAGAACAAGTCCAAGGGTAAGGGGAAGTCTAGGGGCAAGCCTGGGAGCAAAGGGAAAGGTAAGCCCCCCCAGCCGAACAATCAGGCGTCCAGGGGCGGTAACAAGCAGGCGGCCACCGATCCGAAAGGGAACCAGTTCTGTAACAACTGGATGCGCGGGCGCTGCCCGGGCAACTGCGGACGCACCCACAAGTGCAACCTCATCCTGGCAACGGGCCGCATCTGCCTGGGAGACCACCTCCCGCAGGACTGCCCGGGTTGACTAGGGGCGCTGACCCCGACCCCCCGGGAGGCCTCAGGTGCCGAGGGCCCTGATAAGGCCCGGGGGGGCGAGAGGGGGCGCAAACGCCCCAAGCAGGCACATGAGCCCCCTCCTGCAGGTGCCGAGGGCCCTGACACAGGGGGGGGACAGGCCAGGTGGCGGCCATCCTCGGCGGAACAAGGATGGGGACGGCAGAACCAGCGTGCCAACACCCTCGCTGGGGTCAGAACAACCACACAGCTGGCACAACGGCGGCGCCTCAGCCCCGAGCCACGGGTGCCGAGGGCCCTGAAACGGCAGGGACGGGACGGTTCCCTGGGTGCCAAGGGCCCTGACACGGGGGGCCGCGCCCAGCAGGCCCGATTGCCGGATAACTGGCAGCACACCGCAACGCCAAGGAACACGCCCAGGAGGCAGCCGATCCCACTTCCGGCGCCCAACATCATCAAGCAGGACCCGGTGGTTTTTTATAAGAGCTCGGTTGGGCTGAATGAAGGGGGCCAGCGCCTTTCAGCTACCCCCCTGACAAGTCCCACGGAGCCGTCACCGGGATGGGACATCTTCCCGTGGATGGAGAACATCCCGGAGCGTTTGGTACAGCGGCTGAGATGGACACAGGGCACATCGCCCAAAGTTCCATCCAGTGGGCCCATTATTGTCCTGCTCTATGCAGGCAAGGAAGACCCAACTTCCTTGGACAGCTGTCTTCATGCCAACTACCCACACACCTTTCCAGCATGGTGGTGGCGGTAGACATCCTACGATCGGGACCAAAAGGGAACCACGACATGCTCCAACCCGAGCTGTATGGAGCTCTCTGCACGGCAGCAAAGCAGGGCCGAGTGGTCTTCATTGGAGGAGGACCCAACTGCAGGACATGGTCCATCCTGCGCCACATACCAAAACCGGGGGCCCCCACCCCGGTGCGAGGGCGCACTCGAGAGACACTTTGGGGCCTCCCACACCTGGACCAGGCCGCCCAGACTCAGCTTGATGATGACAGTATCCTCATTTTGAGGCAGATGTACATCACCAGCCTGGCAAGGGCCTCAAGATCGGCGGTTTCTCTGCCAGGGCCAAAGTCCTTCTTGGAGCACCCGGAGGACCCAGTGGTGAGCAGCTCGCTGCCCAAAGCCAAGGAATGCTCATCCTTCTGGATCACGGAGGAGGGGCAGCTTTGGATGGAGGAAAACTCCTTGACAATCTCCTTCGACCAGTGCCGCCTGGGCCAGCTGGTCAAGAAGGCCACTACGCTAGCCACGGATCTCCCAATTCAGGAGTGGGATCAAATGCGGTGCACGCATCAGTCACATGTGGGCACCAACGAGTCCTCGACTCTTAGCAGATACCCTTGGGATATGATGGCAGGCCTGGCCAAAGCCATCGCTGTGTCACTCGCAGCGCCGGGGCACATCCGGATCCCCTCACAATTTTCGGGAAACCCTAAGGAACCACCTAAGGGGCGGGGGTCGGACCCCCCGGAGGGCCCTTCCCCCCGGCGAAAACGGGGACCCAATCAGGGAGGCGGTCCCTCCTCATCACACCAGGGCCCAAAGCCCGGAGGGAAGCCCCGCCAGCCCACCTTGAGGCAGACACCGTAAGCCCTCGTGGAACAATGAACCCAGACTTCCCATCTCCCATGCCCCCGATGGCCGGAGATGCGGAACAACTGGGGAAGGAAGAACATGGGGACCAGGTCCTGGACCGCCCCGAATGCCTGCCCGCTTTCAGGGTCCCACGCCTCATTGACCGAGTTGCGATTGTCCAATTGGGTTTCCGCTCACGCCCCCTGAGGGATGGGGGGGGGAAACCTTCCCCGGGGAGGCTCAACCCCCCCTTTCGGAGAATTTCCCCTTTGGCTACTTTGGGCGCCCTGATCATGACCCTTACCCGGCCCTGGATTGACAAGGTCCGGATGTCCCTGGCATCAGGTGCCACCACACACCCCTTCCAGGAAGCCGACCTCGATGAGCTGCGGGCTATCCTGGGACCTAGGCACCTCCATGAACGATGCCCAGGTCAACCCTTCCTCCTGGACCTAGTTTCGCACTTGGCATCCCTTTCAGGTGACCCTGATTGGGAGTTCCCCCTGACACTGAAAGAGGGGGTCCCCTTGGGAGTCTCGGACCCTACCTTGACCTCCCCCGGAGTTTGGCCGACTAAGGAGGAGCTTAAGGGAGAAGCCTGGCTGGGGGAAGACCCCCCCCCGCCGGTGGCCCATGATAACTACCCAACGGCTGAACTCTTTGCCAGTGAAATCGAGGCAACCTTTTACGAGGAACGAGCCTTGGACATGGTGGACGGGCCCTTCACTCGGTCGGAGGCGGCAGAGAGGTGCCGCTGCAAACCGGAGGAACTTTGCCCGGGCCCCCTTGCGGGGATTGATGAGTCAGACAAGATCAGGACGATCTACGATGGCTCGAAAGGGGGAGCAAACAAACGCACACATCCAGGCTCATACGGGGGAGAAGACCACTGCACCGATGGTTGGAGACTGCCTCCACGCCATCCACTGGCTCAGGACAGCGACGGACCATCCCCATCTACTTCGAGCCACGCTCTCGAGCACTGAGGAGAGACCTCGGGATGTTCACCAGCCGGTGCAGGGGCAGTCCCCAGGTGCCGAGGGCCCTGAGAGGGACCCCCACAGCACCAGCCTGCCCCCCAGGGCCGAGGGGCCTGATCGGGGCAGGGGGATGATGGATACCTCCGGCGGCCTGGACGTCTCTCTGGGGTCGACACCCTCAGGGAAGGGACCACTCCCAGGTGCCGAGGGCCCTGATAGGAGGGCCCCCTTCCCCCCAACCCCCCCGGGCACGGAACGCCCTGGGGGGATCAGGGGGGAACCCCTGATGTGGCAGCCGCCGACACAGGGGGAAACCTTCATCATCCTCAAGGCGGATGTCACCAAGGCCCACAGGCGTATAAAAGTGCTCCCGAAAGACTGGAAATACCAGGTGGCCTGCATCCAAAACCGGTGGTGGGTCAACAGAGTGGGCACGTACGGCATGGCCTCGGCACAACTGTACTGGGGAAGAAAGGCATCCTTGGTGCTCAGACTCTTGTACTACATCTTCCCTCAGGTGGACTGGCACTTAGTCTTTGTGGACGACTACTGCTGGGTCCTCAGATGCAGCCGGGCGGACTGGGACGCCACAGCCATCCTGGCTACACTGCTGGCGCTGGGAGTCCCGCTTTCCTGGAAAAAGACGGCGCTCTCCCCGATCAATACCTGGTTGGGCTTTGTGGTGGACCCAATCACGCCCTGTGTACTGCTGGCTCCAGTCAAACACGTCATAATCCTGGCCACTCTTAAACGGCTGGCCCAGGGGGACATCTTCACCAGCAAGGAGGTGGAACAAGCCCTAGGCCGTATTCAATGGGCTACTTCGGCGTGCCCATTGACGAAACCTTTCCTCCAGCCCTTTTGGAGCTGGAAGAAGGCCTGCACCACTTCGGGCAGGCCACCGAAGCTGGTTCGTGCTCTGGCCATCCTTTTGGGGAGACTCTTCAACCAGAGGTTCCCACTGGCATCTCCGTTTGCTCCCACACTCCCATGGACGGGGGCATCTGATGCGGGAGCTGGCAGACAGGCAGACCATGCATGGGTTGGTGGTTGGTGCTCGGACGTGCCCAACCCCGACAAGTCCCGTGTGAAGTGGTTCCAGCACAGAATCACACCGGAGGGCGAGCCGTGGGCCTTCACTACTGGGGACCCGCAGCGGGCGATAGCGGCCTTGGAGCTCTTCGGCCTCCTCCTTTTGGTGAGGGCCGTTCTGCTTTGTGCAGCCGGCTCGGCTTCTCACACTAGGATCCTGGTTGCTAGTGATAACCAGGGAAATGTTTTCTCCCTTCTTAACGATTCCACTCGCAGGATGCCCAATGCGGCCATCCTCATGGAAATTGTGTTAACGCTGCATGACCAGCAGGTCATGTTGGGGCCGTCGCATGTGAAGCGCGACTTTAACACGTGGGCGGATGAACTTACTCACCCGGACCCGCAATTTCCGACTGAGAACCGGGTCTTCCCCTCAGTCGAAAGCGAATTGATCACACTGATCTTCGCTACTTTCCTTCCTCACGCATGATGCCGGGAGGGCATCCGGTGAGATGGGAGGATTCCTCCCTCGCTGTGGGAGTGGCATCAATCCTACTCCCATCAGCTGCTGAGGGGAGCTGCCCAGTGGAGCTGGGCAATCCTCCCATTTTGGCACTAACCCTTATGCGGCAAAAAGGAGGCACCGTTTTGCGAATAAGGCCTCAGTAGCACCAGAGTGGTGCTTTGAAGAGTCAAGAAGTTGTCCTTAGTTGCCTTCTCAAAGGGTACCTACTCACCCCGTGTTGACATGAAATGCATGGAAGGAGGTCCTTGGGTTGGTTGCCATTTTCCCCTGATATGCATCCTGCAGCTTTCATAGCAATGTGGGTGGCGGTGCAACCGTCAGTGAATGGTTTGGACTTGAAGTGTGGGTTATTCATGAAACTAAAGAACAACAACAAGGCGGCAATCCGTGTGTGTGTGTGTCCGCGCCTGGTTCTCCTAGGCCAGCGCGGGGATGGTCTGCCGCTGCTGGGATACCTCAGGCACAGACCGTGCTCGGTTGCGTTGTGATGTCTTCAGGTTGCTAGCGCTGAGTTTGCTAATAGAGCTGCTGCTGTGGCCGCTGTTGTTCTTGCTCTTGTGACCGTTCTTGTTCTTCTTTTGTTCTTGATTGTATTGTTGTTCTTGTTCTGGTTCTTATTATCGTTCTCGTTCTCTTTCTTGTTATCGCTCTTTTTATTGCTCTTGTTCTTGGGGTCGGGGTTGATGTTGATGGTTGCCGTTGTCGTTGTCGTTGTCGTTTGTGTCCTTGTTGTTGTTGTTGTTGGTGTAGTAGTAGTAGTAGTAGTAGTAGTAGTAGTAGTAGTAGTAGTTGTTGTTGTTGTTGTTGTTGTTGTTGTTGTTGTTGTTGTGGTTGTTGTTGTGGTTGTTGTTGTGGTTGTGGTTGTGGTTGTGGTTGTGGTTGTTGTTGTCGTTGTTGTTGTTGTGGTTGGTTGGTTGTTGTGGTTGTTGTTGTTGTTGTTGTTGTTGTTGTTGTTGTTGTTGTTGTTGTTGTTGTTGCTGTTGCTGTTGCTGTTGCTGTTGCTGTTGCTGTTGCTGTTTCTGTTTGTTGTTATTTGTCGTTGTTGGTTGTTGTTGGTTGTTGATGGTTGTTGTTGTTGGTGGTTGTTGGTGGTTGTTGGTGGTTGTTGGTAGTTTTTGTTTGTTGTTTGTTGTTGGTTGTTTGTTGTTTGTTGTTTGTTGTTTGTTGTTGTTTTTGTTGTCTGTTTGTTGTTTGTTGTTTGTTGTTTGTTGGTTGTTGTTTGTTGTTTGTTGTTGGTTCTTGGTTGTTTGTTGTTTGTTGTTGCTGTTTGTGTTGTGTGTTTGTTGTTTCTTGTCTGTTGCTTGTTGCTTGTTGTTGTTTGTTGTTTATTGTTTCTTGTTTCTTGTTTCTTGTTTGTTGTTTGTTGTTTGTTGTTTGTTGTTTGTTGTTTGTTGTTTGTTGTTGTTGCTGTTGCTGTTGCTGTTGGTGTTGGTGTTGGTGGTGGTGTTGTTGTTGTTGTTGTTGTTGTTGTTGCTGTTGCTGTTGCTGTTGCTGTTGCTGTTGCTGTTGCTGTTGCTGTTGCTGTTGCTGTTGCTGTTGCTGTTGCTGTTGCTGTTGCTGTTGCTGTTGCTGTTGCTGTTGCTGTTGCTGTGTTTGTTGTTGCTTGTGTTGTTGTTGTTGTTGTTGTTGTTGTTGTTGTTGTTGTTGTTGTTGTTGTTGTTGTTGTTGTTGTTGTTGTTGTTGTTGTTGTTGTTGTTGTTGTTGTTGTTGTTGTTGTTGTTGTTGTTGTTGTGCTCGTGGTCGGTGTCGTTGCCGTTGTCCTTGCTGCCTTCTACTTGCTGCTCTTGAATTCTCAGAAATTGCTACATTGTGACCTAAGACAACCAATCCCAACAAACGATCCTGAGCGGTAGAAAGGTATGTGGTCTCCAAACATGAACGAATCCATCTCGACTGTACTGCCAACAGCGCGCTCTGAAGATGTCCAGTTGATTGGTTCCTGAAAGTTCGCTGGGGAATAGCTAGCTGACCTTTTGCCCTGATAATTGCACGCGCGTACAGTCTTTGCGTGATGTATAATAGCACGTGGAAACATGCAGGTCCTGTGATGTTCGCGTGGCTGTTTTATTGGATCCTGAAATTAGGATGCCGGGCCGTCCTAAAAGGAAGCGCCAGTTTGTGACCAGGCCGCGCTCACAGCGCGACGTGATGGACGTTCCCGATTGTAGGTTCAAGTTGATGTGTTGTAAAGGGTTGAGTGAATTGTTCAAAATACATATCAGAACAGGAAACCTCCTGAGTTTCGGTGGCAGAGCCGCAAAGTGAGCTTGTCAAGGTTGGCCGTCTTCCGCGCGACCATTCTGTCACTGTCATGGGCATTCCCTTGGCTTTATAAAAAAGAATACGCTAACTGAACATGACTTTAGATTTGCCCAAAATACAAAATACAATAGTTCCCTGCTTGGAAAGACAACCCTGCATGGTCCGCAATGAGCACCAAGTGGTTAGTTGAACCCTTTGTGCGGCAAACCTACGCGGGACATTTTGAATGCAACCTCTCCTTCGGATCGGCAGGCCTTTGCCACTGTGGAGAGCAACGGAAGGACGGAGGGCCCTCAGATGACTCGCTGACAGTCGTGAGGGGTGTTCTTTCACAGGGTGTTCGGAGGTGATGAACACACATTGACATGTAGTTTGGTTGTTGTCTCCCATTGCAAAGGCCATCTAATTGCAGGAAGTCCCCTTGTAAGAAGTACCCAAAATGCCATCAAGGGGTAGTTATGTGTCAAATCGCACTTAGGAGGGGTTCAACTGTTCAACTGGTTTCGGCGCATTGTATCCATGAACATGGAATGCGTGAAGGGGTCAACCCCTCGATCTCGCTTGAAAGTTCTGTTTTACTTCTTGTGGCTGGAAGACTGGAAAAGGGAATTGGGAACACCCACCCCTCTCCGCGCAAGGTAGCGGGGAATGGGCGGACAGACATGACACGTCTTCATGCTGCTGAACAGATTGCGTCATTTCAAAAACTTCCCCATGCTCCAGATACCCACTTTTCCGGTATGTTTTGTCAACCCCGGACCAACAGAGGAGATCTTTACACGGCACATTCTTGTTTTGCAGCATGTTATCACAAATCACGCCTTTTGCATTTGGGGATCAGTCGCATTGTTTCGTTGCGGAGTTGCGAAGGGAGCTATTGTATTTGCTTCAAGTCATGGGTATGGGAACGTGGGACTTCTGTGCCTTGCCTTGTTTGTCTTACAGGCTATGCTTAAAAAGGGTCGTTCTTGAAAGTATCACCCCAGGCCCGAGAACTTGGTTGGACGTCTCAACATGTTTTGTCAAAGGTGTCCTGTTCGGGTCTGTTGATTTTTGTTGGGGTTCCACGCGGTTGCAAGCTGGTTCTAAATATTGACCAGTGTTGGGACTCCTAGGGTCATGAGCAGCCTAGAGGCTTTTGTTGGGGAACGCTCTTTCTCTTGGCTTTAAGGGCAAACTCAAAGGAACCCAGCCATTGTTGGGGTCCTAAATTTTGGGGCAAACTCAGTTGCAATTATGGAATAGCTAGTAGCTAGTGTGAGTGTGTGGTTTTCTGCATTGCCACCGTTCGAATTGATCTAGAACTCGGCGGCGTTGTCTTTGACAATACGTCGTGCTTCCAAGGTGTTCACCCAACTTTGGACACAGTTCTGTATGGCAATGATTCACAGCAGTTACACACATGTTGTGGACAAATCGACGTTATTCAACCCCTTTACCCTTGCCACATAAGACCTCGTGGACACTGTGGGGCCATTTTGAAACTACCTGTTGTATGGCATTCGGTGTCCATATTGCCACCCCGGCTTTTTACCATGGAATTGGAGGCGGACAGTGCCTGAACTTCATGCCATTTTCCTACAGACACGAATCGAATCACCTTTCTGGGGAAGACTTCAATGGATTCAGCTACTTGTTTGTACGTCTATTTGTCAAGTTTTTCATTTATTGATATGGCTATTTCTCTATTTGTCTATATATCTACCTACCTAATCTAATTTATCTAATCTATCTAGCCTATCTAATCTATGGATGTACTATCTATCCAATCTAGTATATCAATTATAGCTATCTAATGTAGATCTAATCAAACTAATCAATCTATCCATTGTTTTGTCTATCTATCGTTCTGTCTTCTGGCCATCCAAAGTACGTATCTATGTGTATAGATATCTATCATCTAATGTATATATTATATTTATGTACATCTATACAGGCGTCAATGTTCATGCCTTTTGGCCGTACCCTTCATGCACAATTCATAATTGTCCATGTGTATGTACATATATATATATATATATACAGCCGATCAACCTGCCTATCTAATCTACATGTCGATCAATCTATGAATCGATCTACCCTGTCTAGCTATCTATTCTGTCTTATTTAGATCTAGTCTTATCTTCTCCAAACTATCTATCCCAGCCTCCCTGTTCACTGCAACAAGTCGGGGGTCCGCTGTTTTTGGTAGGACGGCGCTGCGCTTGGCGGTGGAAGCGGGGCGCTGGGACGTAGTGGAGCCGCTCCTAGAGGCGAAGCTGAGAGACCCACTTGATGGGGTGCTTTTGGTACCCATTGACTAAACATTTAAAACCAGTGAATAAACCTTTTGGCGTCGTTTTGGGGTCCAGATTGTGGTACCCATCCTTCCTGGTGGATTAGGTTGTCAAGTGTTTTTACCCGTGTGAAAGTAGACGACACAATTCCCTTGTGGGTAAATAAGGGATGACTGACATGGTGCATTTGCTTTGCAACAGTATATATGCATCTAAACATAGCGTGCAATTTTGGCTCAGTTGCCTTGAGGTACTTTTCAGTCATGAATTGAGATGCCGTGTTTGACTGGCCGGCTCAAGAAGTTCCGGATATCGACAGTGCTCTGCGGCATGTTCTGCAGCTGGAGGACTAGCGGCTCTTTCAGTTGTTGTCCCGATTCAAGAAGGTGTTGGTGGTTTTCTTCGCGAGGCCTCCAGGTCACGCAATTCTAGGCGTACATCATTGCAATTTGACCCGAGGCCCCCGAGCAAGCCGGCGCCAGGCGCAGCAGGGCTGCCAGATGCGCCGGCCGAGCAGCAGCGCGCTCTTGCCAAAACTACTCCTGGCCCAATAACGACCGCTGACATTTTGGCCCCAATTGATGCCAGCCCCGTGCTGACGGGCGCACGCCTAGGCATAGAAAGGACAAAGGCACTGACAAGTGGCCAAGACACAAGTCCGCGGCGGTCCAATGGTTGCGCAGGCCCTAGCCGTTGTCCCACAAGGGTGAAAAGTCTGGTGGCGCAAGCGGGCACCGCCTCTTTAAGGTTGCCAAGACCACGAGGTCCAACCAAGACGGGTGTTGGCTCTGAGGTCTGCTCCCAAGAAGGCGCTGCTACTTGTCGAAAATGAAAGAGACGAAAACTGCGCATGGCGCGATAATAGCGGGCAAAAGCGCTCATTCCTGCACACAGGCAAAGAATACGCAGCACGGCGGACACGTCTTGAAAGAAGGCCATCGCCTTGCTTGAGAGCAAAAAAGCCACAACCGTGTTCTAAACCTGCCCCAGGGGCAGGGCTGCCTAAAAATGAAAACATTGCAAAAAGTTGCGTGACTTCTGAGCACAGTTGACTTAGATACGGTCAGCCACTAGGCACTCCTTGGTGGAATGCTCTGCATTGGCTGCCGTGCACACACTCCGCCTGCACAATCTGCCGCACCTAAAGTAGTTTTTACAAGGATCTATGCAGTAGCCGTCAACCTGGAACCACGGCTGGCACCTTCATGATTTGGGCAAGGCCGCGTGCCTTTTGGCACAAAGGCAAAATCTTTTCTGGGAGTGGCCTGCAGCACTGGTGTCCTGCCGCACCTGTCGTTTTCTGTGTTCAGGCAAAGCCCCACTCCGGCTCCAGCAAGACATGCTCATCGACAACCTGCGCGACCTGAATCTCCCATTGTTGAGGCCAAGGTGCTAAACTCGAAGCAGGCCAGGGCGGCAGCTTGGGGCAACAACCTGCGTCGGGCAGCGTTTGGGGCAGTTGGCTCAGAGGCACGTCATCACACGCAAGGGTTGGGCAGGACCAGCGTCTGCCACAGACAGTGCTTTGCGTCTAGCCACACTTGCAGCTGCTCAGGCGAGACAAACCCTCAGGCGGGCCGCCAGTCTATCCTTGGATCTCCCGCTGTCGGAAGGTGACACTTGCATTGGACTGACAAGGCAGGAGTGGCCCAGGACGCCCAAACATTGTTGGGTTACCGGAGCTTGGGCTTGAACAAGTCTAGCCTGCGTGAACCTGAGAGGGCTCTTGGCCTTGTAAGGGCAGGCAAGTTTTGCCCGGACGACACACGCAGCGGCCGATGGACATCCACAGCAGCTCCAGCTTCGGGCTCCGCGCTAGCTCCCTCTCTAGATCCGCCAGCGAAAGCGCGATTCCGAGCAGTTTGTTGTGACTGATGCCACAAATAGCTTGAGCCTCAGCGTAGAGTCTGGCAGTTACAGTTTTATGGTACATGAGAGCCCTGGTGAAAACCCACTTGGCGGTTTTGCAACCATAGCCAATGGGTTGGGACCATGGTTACAACCCAGTGACATTGTACGACGTAGCGAGACGCAGGCCAACACTTTGTTTTTCAGGAAGTTCAGGATGTAGAGGCTTGTGACGTCAGTCAGAATTGCGCAGCCACTTCTGATTTGAGCCTCTTGCCAAAGACCGAGCTTAGCTCCCTTCTCAGTTGCAATTTTGGTGCATATGATCTAGATTTGGTCGACTTTTGGGGTCCCTTTTTGCTCTTGGAAAGGCGGCGCTGGCGCCAGGGGTCAGGGAGCGTTCCTTCGAGGAAAATGGCCAAACACCACCCCAGCCAGGTTCCATGACAAGGTAAACAGAGTAAAACGCCAACTTCGGCTGTTTGCTGTCTTCTGCGCACAGGTTTCTTGATTCTGGTCACTTGCTCGGTGGCGGGTTGGCTGTCTGGTGCTGACATAGAGTCGGGAAGTCACGCCAAAAAAAGGGAACCCAAGTTCGGGAAACGAAGAAGCAAGCATTCGCTTGGAAGCCGAGGCATGTGTAAGGTTTGGAGACTGCTGGGAAGACAATCCTCGCTTCCATGGCCAGTACAGTTCAATTTGAGCAAACGGCAGGTTGCAAGGAGCCTTGAGGGGTTGGGGCTTTCCGTTGCAGAGTCCGTGAGTTTGCATGGGAACTGTCACGACCCTTAGCTCGGTTTGTCTTCCGAAGCCCTTTGTTCTTCGTATGTTTGAATACAGAAAACGCAACGGTGCTCCAAGGGATCCCTTTAGTCCCCTTTGAGAGCCACGCTTGGCCGAGCTGTCAGGCTAGCTGCAGCTTGCGGAGCCCCGGTCAGGATGCGCTGCGAGCTCTTGGTCGGCTGGAGTCGGGACATTTCAGGGACCCTACCCGCCCTCCAGCCGTTGTAGTTTTAAGCGTTGCTAGGGGCACACGAGGGGGGCAAATCAATAACGTGCCATGGTGGCTGTAACATTCTAAAGGTCGATCCATCTCCCCATGATTTTCACGTGTCGTTCCCTTGAGGAATCATGTTTCCCTCTTTTGAGCCGTTGGTTTTGGCAAAGGATCTTTGGGCCAACATGGGAGTGCGGTGGAAGAAGTGTGTTTCATCATCCCTATTTTCTGGAAGATAACTATTTGACCGACCTCACCTGTGCCAACATCGTGGTGGAAATTGACATATAGCCAGGTATCCCCTTTACATCCCTTTACAGTAGTCCTGGGGATGAGGATGGAGCACCCTATTCCTCGTGTTCCAGTGAATTCAAACAACCAGTTCCTCTGAGGTTTATAATTGAAGTTTCAATCTTGACTGCTACTGGGCTTTGACTGTTTGAGAAATCAAGGGGTTTTCCACCAAACCCCCAAAAAGTTAAACTTTTTGCAGGGGGGTCAACAGCAACCAAGCTATGGAGCAATCCCTGGGGAATCCTACTTAGCCACAAGCAGAGCAACCTGTTCACCTGCTGGCATAGATGGGAGAAACGTTTTTTTTTTCCTTTTTCTTTTTTTTTTTTTTTTTTTTTCGAGGGAAGTGATTGTGATTCCCTTGATTGAAGGGTCAGTAAGCTCCGTTGCAGCAATCAACCCATACATGGGGTGTGTTGGGAGTGTGTAAGGGTGCGTACATTCGGCACGCACCCCGGTACGTATTGGTAATGTGGTCGTGAGGCATGAGGCGCCCGGAGGTCTGACACTTTCCACTTTCAGACGCTTGGAGCAAACTCACTGGGAATTAATTAGGCTTTGCACTTTTTGTGGCAACGGACCCTCGGGGGCCCTTGAAGGCAGCACGACTTCCCAAAGCCAGGGAACTCAAATGGAGATGTGTTTGGGGAGTGCCCTAAAAACTCCTACACAGTGAGTGCCTTCAAACATATGCGACCCTCGGAAAGTTGTGGTTATCCTTTGGGTCTTCTTCTTCCCAATCAGATCGGGGGTGATCACTTCCATTCTTGCAGACATGTTTCCAAATGGGCAAAGAATCGGGGATCCCATTCAAAACTACAAAGTAGCTATAGGATTGGAATCTCATTTGCTGATCATATTGATGCGGAGCCAGCTTGCAAGGTAAGGCATTGCAGCGGAAGAAGGCGACTATTGGTGACAATTGTTAGTGCGGTTTCTCAGCTTCAAGCGTTCCCCATTCACAATACCGGTACAAAGCCCTTCGGAGCCTTTAAGCAACGTTTGCGGCTGGACAAAGAGACATGCCATGACAAAGTCCCTTGTGACCTACAATAATGCAGACCATGCTCAAATTCCCGCAAGTTGGCCATTTCAGGTAGCTCTAGCTGGTTTGATGGGACATGGCAGTTGTTCAACAAGGCCTGCATATCCTTGTTATTCCCCTATGCTCCGAAGGTCCGAAAACCAAACCTGGCTCTAGCTGCCTCTAAGCTTTCTACCGTGTCAAAAAGTTCAGCTGCTTCGCTTTTTGCGAGGACCTGCGGTCACCCCTCACCGCGGCCCTGGAAAAGGGCCATGTGGAGGCGATGAGTTCGCGGCACGGAGCTTTGGATGATACACCTAAGTATGTCTTTTGAGGAACCCCTGCTTGTGGTTTGTTTGATTTTCAAGGGAAACAAAAAGGGGGCCAATTTTGAATGTTGAGACAAACTCATTGTTTTGCTTGGCTCTCTTTCGATGTTTGCTTTGCATCTTAGTTTTTGTTGGCTCGAGGCAAAAAGAAGTTGTTGGGCGTGTCTTTTTGTGACAACCTTTTCACTTTGGACCATGTGACTCAGCCACTCTTATTGTTCATTGTGTTTTCCCTTTCCCTTTGAAATAGGGGTGTCTTCTTGTGAGAATACTACTTGTTTTTTTTTTGGGGGGGGAGCTGCATCCTCACTGACATTAGTTTGGTTTGGGTCGGAACCACGTTTCCCCTGGCTTTCGCCACTGGAGAATCAATACGGTGCGGTTTCTACCTCAAACGGAGTTGCCCAGGTTTTTGGGCTCCTGAACGGTCCTTCGCCTCGAACGTCACTGGGTGTGTCTTGAAATAGGGAATCCCAAGAATGGTTTTGCCTTTGGTTGCCCTTCAAAACAACCCCAAATCGTGTACCCACAAAAATAGACAGACCCTAATAGCAGTAGTCGACTTTTGGGCTGCAATGGCTTCGCTTGTGAGCTGGTTCTGAGCCAGTCTACGGGTGTTCCGTGGGTACCGTAGGAGTTTTCCAGGCAATGTTGACCCCAAGTCAATCCCGCAACAAAGTGATTCAGAGCAAACGTCCCTTCTTCCTGGGGCAAAATTGCCCAGTTTGGGAAGCGCCCAAAGAAAGCCCCCAACTCCAAACAAAAAGATCACACGGTCTAGAGTTCGAATCAACAGACTTAGCCTGTTTGCTCGTTTGCCCTGTTGGGGTTCCTCATTTTTTGCGTTTCCCGGGAAGAAGTCACCTTTTGCAGATCCAGACACAGGCGCTTCTGGCACTGGACTCGTTGAACCTGCGCCAGTCCCAGCGGCAGCTGGCAGGCGATCGGGGTCGCTTTGGAGCTCCGATTTTTCCAATTTGTTTGTTGCTTTGGTTTGGTTTCCCAGCCGTTGAGGGCCCTTTGTCCATTTATGTTTGGCGGGTAGACACTTACGACTAAAAGTGGTCAACCCCATGAAGTGTGTGTTTGTGTGTGTGTTTTTTACTGGAGGGCTATTTGGTTTGGAATGTTTCCCGTTTTTCTTTAGAACATTTTCCTGGACTTTACCTTATTTGGCTTCTTAGCTTCTTGGCTTTTTGGCCTTTGGCTTCTTGGAGTCGGGGCTTTTTGTTTGGCTTTTTGATTTCTTGGCTCTTGGTTTTGTTTTGCCTTTTTGGTTTTTTGCCTTTTTTGGTTTTTTGCCTTTTTGGCTTTTTGGCTTTTGGCTTTTTGGCTCTTTTTGCGGCCTTTGTGGCTTCGGCTTTCCGCATCCTCAGCATCACCAGCAACACCCCAGCATCGCCGGCTTTTTGGTCTCTTTTTTTTGGTGGCTTCTTACCTCCCAGGTTTCTGTAGATGGGCTGCCCCCCCCCCAACCGCCCCGCTTCTTTATAGGGCCGTTGTTTGGCTTTGTCGCTAACACTAGAACCAACCTTAAAACCAAACCTGAGCCAACCTGGAAGAAACCCCAACCTACCCGAAACCAACCCTACCCCCAACCACCCGAAGCCAATCCTGAAACCCTAAGCAAGCACAAAACCATCTCGAAGAAGCCCACCTTAAACCACCCCCTAAGCAAACCCTATACCAAGCCTAACCCCCCACTAAACCCACCCTAAAGCAACCCCAAAATCAATCCTAAACCCAAACTAAACCCGCTCTAAACCCACCCTACACCGACCCTTGACAAACCCAAAGCAAACCCCACCAACCGCCTCACCCCCCCCCCAAACAAACCAAACCAACGCTAAACCATCCCTAAGCCACCCTGAACCTTCCCCAAACCACCCTAAGCTCTCCTAGACACAGCCACAGCCTAAACCGGGTTGGCACCCGCCAGGGGTCAACTTGGGTGGCTTCGCCCCAATCCGCACAGACCTTGACTGTGCATCTAGGTGCTGGATAGGCGGGGGCAATTATATCCATGCCCTTCTGGTTTCCTTTCGGGCAATTGCATCTTGTGAAGTTTTGGCATCCCGGCAGTGTTGGGCCCACCCTAAACCAGCCCTAAACCCACCCTAAACCAACCCCAAGCCCACCACAACCAGCACTAAACCATCCACCCCCAAACTTGCCCCAAACAAGCCTGGAACCCACCCTGAACCAACCCCAGCCAACCTTGAACCCACCCTAAACCCAGCCTAACAAAGCCAACTCGTGATGCTGAGGATGTTGAAAAGGATGCTGCCGAGTTAAACTATGCCGGGATGTTGACAGCACTGTTTCAAAACGATCAAACCACAGCAGAACCGAGCGACATCGTACCTGCCAGTTCCAAGACAGAAAATGAAGGAACAATTCCCAAAACAAAACGGGCAAACAGCAAAAACATATCCGGACCCTTTTGGTTTTTTTATTTACGGGGGTCACTGAACAACTGGAGACGTGTAGTGTCAGGGAGCTGAAACATAATGCTTTGGTAGCATGATTTCGGGAAGCATATTGGTTGGTGGTTGGGTTTCTTTTGTTTGCATGATGGGGTGCTTTGAGAGGTGGGGTGAATATTTCAGTGTTTTAGTATAAAATCGTTTGTGCTTTCTGTTTTACGGGAGGCCACACAGATCTGGGCTGATGGAGTGTTTTGCCGAGGCTTCAGCTTACCGAACTTGCTGTAGGAAAGCCTTTCATTCCAACCCTGGCCCCATGGTTCACTCGGCGTCCCCAGATGTCTCCCTTTTCGGGCGATTGAAATGTCACCTTGTGATAAAGCCAAGTTGGATGTAGTGTCGGTTTGATTGGGGTGACGTGAGGGGACATCGGAGCCGTGATTCAGGCCTCGAAGTATTCAGGGAACTATTCCGAGGGGTTCGTTTAGCATTGCATGGCACATGGCACATGTGAGCAATAGTCAACGTTCATGTTCATGTGCCGTATGTGGGATGACGTGAGACACACTCATCTCCTTCTATCCTTTCATGTCAATTGGGGACACCATGAGTATGGGGCTCATGATAGCACAAATATTTGGACAACTTTTGTTGCAGCTTCACGGACTATATTTCGGTGTGGTTGCTTGTTTAAGCAGACACCGCTCTTCGGGACCTGGTGTTGTGTTCGAGGGACACCAGGCAAAATTCACATATGTCAGACTCCTTGGGAAGATTACCCTTTTGCAAAGAGAGCTTGCGCACATATCCCAACCCCTGCTCAAATGAGCGAGTGTCAGGTAGCTCGTCGTCGCAATTCATCCTTTTCAAACGCGACCTTAAGCAACAACATGTGAAGCATCATGGCTGGTTTGCTTTCCAATTCCTCTTGCAGAAGTTCCTGCATTTCTTTGAGAAGCTCTAGGGTTGCCCGCTGGCCAAGTTTGGTTCCCGGTTCCTGGGTGCTACGTAGCTCAGAATGTCTGAGGGAAACCAACAGGGGCCGGGTATGTTGTATTTTTCCCAGACACCCTATTTAGCACCCAGGTTCGATTTGGCCAAAGTTCTTCCTTGCGCTTTTCAGAGCTAGGGCAGCTCAGCTCCGCACTGCGCGACTCTGAGCGCATGGAGGACATTGGATGAGAATCACGTGCCTGTTGAGACTCTTGATTCTCAATTGCTTGGCTTTGGAGGTGGGCCATTTTGAAGATGTGTAAGGCGGGACCCCCGTTTAAATCACCAATCCCTGGAATCCCTTGCACGTCCAGCCGCTTGGTCCCGCCACGAGGATCTGGCGCCGAAACTGGCGGAGCAGTTCGGATGAGCGGAGCTCGGAGGGACAACGGGAGGCCTTGGTTGCATGAGTTCCCCTTACTCAATTGAGTCGTTTCCCCATGCAACAGCGCATTAATAACAACAGACACACACACACAGTAGAAACAAAGAAATCAAAAACAAACTGCCAAAACAAGCACAACACACCCGCACACCCACACACTCACACACCCACACAAGTTTCTGATGGAAAGCAAAACAATGATACCGTTGTTTCAAACAGACTTCAGTTGCCGCTTCTTTGGAGTAAAATAAAGAAATAACAATACAAATAAATAAGGAACAAACACAAGAAAGAAAGAAAGAAAGAAAGAAAGAAAGAAAGAAAGAAAGAAATAAAGAAATAAATAAAGGAATAAAGAAAGGAATAAAGAAAGGAATAAAGAAAGGAAGGAAGGAAGGAAGGACGGTTAGAAGAAAGGAAGGAAGGAAGGAAGGAAGGAAGGAAGGAAGGAAGAAAGGAAGAAAGGAACAACACACGAAGGAACATATTTCTTTATTTCTTTCTTTCTTGCTTTATTTCTTTCTTTCTTTCTTTCTTTCTTTCTTTCTTTCTTTATGTTTGCCTTCCCTTCTGAATGTTTGTTGCCCAGGCTGCCGCTGTTGGTGTTTTTGTTGCAGTCCCATTTGCCCAGATCTGGAGTCTGGGCGCCACCTGACGCAATCTGCATGTGGAGTGCAGCAAGCACTGGCTCGTTTTTGAGGGGACCGTGACCTGCGCCGCTTTGCAAGAGCATCAGCACCATGCCCACCCGACCGCACCCACGCTACCAGCATGCCAAATGATCAGCGCAACCGATTGACCGCAGCGACCCCCGCTCGACTGCCAGCACGCCCCGCCAAATGATAGGGTGCTCAGGGCTTACTTACGGCATGTTGAGCACTTCTGCCCGGCTTAGTGCCAGACTGCAGCTTCGGATTCTAGGCCACCTCAAAATCTTAGTTAGATTGTTGTGCGCTGTTTGCAAAATGGTTCTTCCAACACACGCGTCGGCGAATGGCAGCAATGCACAGATGCGTAGAGTGCTCCGTTGCTTGCAGATCTGAGCAGTGTGTCTTTAGGCCAAAAGGAAAACTACCATTGTTGGGTTCCCTAATTCTAATATAAGCCCACTTATCACACAAATTCATGCGTGTTATGCGATTGCGTTTCTCATTTGCTTGCCAAGGTGGGAGCTCGTGGGGGCGCCCGAGCACGGCCAGCGATATTGGAAACACTTTCTTGTCAAGAATCTTCCCCAGGGGTCCAAATCCTATTTGATGCTTGGAGCAGGCTTCCAGCTGCAAAATCAGCCACCAACAACGGGCGGAAGTCCTTTTCCTCCTTTTTTGGGTGAGATTCCCTTTAAATGACTCACTGGATTTTGCAACCACCATATTCCCAGAATGTCAGCATCCCGCTCCCCAAAAAAGTGCGGTTGATTCCTGTATGCAGCGCGTTGTACTGGTGGATTCGCTCAGGTTCATTGGAATGCAGACATGCACCCCTTCTGAAAGGGAAGCCAACAGGAAACCAATCGTATCATGTTTTTGTTCTTCTTCTTTTTTTCCGTATATTCCTTGAACAGTTCGTTCTGTTGTTTATGATTTGAATGTAGTTTCGCTTTGGTGGGGACTGGTCCTCCTGCAGGTGCGGTAACCCCGTGCACACCTTGTCAGGTCAAAATCCTGCAGAAGCCTGAGCCTTCCGGCCACTTTTTCCCACGAAATCCCCATTCAACTTCCCGGAGGGAATCTCCAGACGGTTTAAGGCCTAAGAGGTCCTGGATAATATACAGCTGGTTTCATCCCCAGACTTCTGCCCAACCTGTTTTGGCCTTCCCTTTTGACTTTGCTTCGTTGCAGGTCACCAGATCAGTGGATGCCCAGGAAGTTCGCAATCCCATTTCACCCATCTAAAAACAACACACCCACTAACGCAGGATCTGTCCAAACCAGTTTCACCGGGTCCTTGCTCCTTTGCAGGTTTGCGCGGTTGACTGAGGTCTTCAGTTCCGGCTCTCCCTGCGCAGGCAAGTCCGCACGGATTTTTGTCTGGGGGGGAGAACTTTGAGCCTGCCCGGCTCATCAGTTGCGGTAACGTCGTTTGGAGTCAATTGTCCGGAACAAAGCAGCAACTTGGCGATCTGGGAGGTGAATATAGAGATGGCTTGCAATAACTGATTCTAGGTCCTCTATTTAAGATCAGTTAAACCAAGGATTTCCCAACAATCCTCCTTGTCCGGCTTAAATCCATGATTTTAGTTTGCATGACCTTTTGGTTGCCGAACGGGAGTGTCCTCGGGTGAGGCTGTCCAGCGGCAATCCAAAAACGGAGATGGCCCCTTAGTAATTTGCCAATACAGTTCATGGAACATCGGATTGGCCAACCCTCTATGAACCGCCTGGAAATGGATGTTCATGGGGGTTCCGGATCCTGCTGCGAAAGATAGTACTTTGCGCACCGGGTGGACGTTGGGAGATGCTGTCCAAATTAGTTTGGTGGGGAGTTGCTGCATCGGAAGTAACACAAGCCCCTGGGCAGGGGGGTTTTCAGTGGTGCCACAGAAGCGGGCAATTTCCAAAACTCTCTTGACCACTTGTGCCCTTTTGCACTTCGTGCAACACGCTGCTCAAGAAGCGAGGTAATTGGCCCGGCTGTCCCGTTGGTGTGCCCCAAAAACCTTTCGAGCGGTTCATGTGTGATCTTGGTCTCCATTGCCTAGAGCGAGCCAACCATTTAGCCTTCGGTGTCCGCGTTTGGCCCATCTTTGGTTACGGCCCAAGCAGGGTCTTTGAACTTCAATTTCTGTGAGCAGTGAGTACGGGTGGTTGCCCAACTCTGGGATCAATGCCAGGTTTGAAGCGTCCCAACCACGACCTTTAGCTTCATGATTTGTTTTTTCCCCCAAGTAGATTGCCAGAGTAGAGTTTTGACGCTCTGGCTGGTTCGTCGGTCCCGCAGGTGTCGAGATCCGCGCTAAAGGCTGAAGACTGGCCCAGGGGCTGAGATGGGTTTCTCTTTCGACCTCATCTTTTGTGACCATTTGACTCAGATTTGACTACTTCGGATTCATAAAATGATCATTCACAGGGGTGGTAAACTTATCCTTTTTGACCTTTTAGGGGTTCCGTACGTTTGGGTTGCCAAGTTGACTTTTTGATGGCCACCCAAAGGTTAAACTTTGCGCTCCAGGTTCTTTAGACAATTGATCAGCTGGAGTGGCCGTTGACCTCCCGGGTAAAGAGCCAACTTGATCAAAGATCCTTGCCGGGTGTGCTTATTGACACCGCCTTGGGTGCTGTGCAACCCCTTTGGTTTTCTACACTAGTAGGTGGTCCCAAAGCAAAGAAACAACAGGTGGAACATGGGTAGCCGGGGGTCTTTTCTGGGCAAATGACAGCGATCGACCTCACAGATAAGTTCGGTTTGTGATCAAGTTTCCTTTCTTGGGCGTGCTTCGGCTCCAGCCTTCACAGGGCGACAGTTTTGCCCCCTCGTGAGGTGGGGTACGGATTGTGCCATCAAGCGAGACGTGGACCAACTTCTATTCCCGTGAACCAAGCCGTGATGGTTGAACATCATGCATTGATCTAAGCTGTTGGTAGAACTTAAGTCCTTCATGAGTTCTCACTGGGTACTGCAGGACCGTTGACCTTGAACTAGGTGAAACGTGGCGAACGATCACCGACTCACTGACAAGCAGCTCGTCATTTCTCAGGAGTCATTTCTCAGGAGTCATTTCTCAGGAGTCAATGACAACCCCATAACGATGAAACTCCTCCTGTAGTTGATTGCGCTTGAAGAAGCTGAGGACGACCGAGTTAGATCGTAGCTCGAGCACCTAGCCACTTACGCCCGTGTCGCTTGCGACGGTCGATTTCCTGTTCTTTCAAGGCATCGCTCTTTCCGATGCCAAGCTAAAGTTTCAATGAGCTGCTGACATGTTATTAGGTGTGGTCTTTGTTTAGTGACTTCATTGAAGCTTACACGCTCAGACCTTCGGAGATTGAACCAGGCATGGCCCCAGATTAAAAAAGCAATTGTTCAAACTAGCCACGGGACGTGTTGGTCACATCCTCGGCTTTCAGGAATTGAGTGTTTTTGGGGTGAGTCACTATGTAAGTGAATGAGCGTTGACTGGTGCTAGCCAGCAATGACAATATTTGATTTCCCGAAATGTTCTGCTCATTGCTGTTAAGGATTTGGGCTTTTACTTGTGGAGGGTCCAAATTTCGCGTAGTTTTAGAGGATGCCTTCACTGTCACCAGTTTTGGTGTGGGTTTGAGTGTGGTTTTCGTAGGGCCCAGTTTTCCCCAGTCAGTTCAGAAGGTCCAGCTGGTTTCAGGATAACAAGGAGCCGCGCGTGCGAATGTATAGAACGCCATCACGCTTTTGGGTGGTGTTTTGCAGCTTGCCCCTTACATGAGTTTCGAGCTGTTCCGGAGTATATTCCCATGTGTATTGTGTGCTTGCTCATTGTATGTGGATCATGGCTATGGTTCCCTGAATAGGAACCTTTGCATTAGTTGGCTTTTTGATTCCTACTGAACCCGGGGAAGCGGGCCTTTTGATCGCACATTGAGAAATGTCAGCCTTGGATCAATAAACCTGTGGGGTTGAACCCGCGCGGTCCTCCAGAACTAATCCGATTCCCTCTCATATTTCCCAATTCCCACCAATCTAACACAAGCTGTAAGGTGATGGATCTGCCAAGTGTCCCATTGCTTGTAGACCCGTGGACTCATGTGGGCAAATCATGGCAACCTCACATGGGAGTTTTCGACCAAAGGCCAATGATGAAGCTCTTTTTTTTTCAGGGAGCTTTTCTTTGGGTGGGTGAATGTCTATACTCCTTCCAAGCAACAAATAGTCCAAAATGGGTGTTTGCGGTTCCATGCTTTTGGCGCTAGGATACGTGCCGACTCAGTCGCAGCCACTCGCAGTTTTTTGCTCTTGAGTTGCCTGATCGGCGTGCCGTTTCGGCAGTCAAAGGACTGAGATGGAGA